TCACCCAGGGGCCACCAAGAATTGGCCAAATACAAAGCCATCATTTCCAGACCCAGCTATGCCATTCCACTCTCACCCCAGTGCCCCAGCACCAAACGTTTACAAGGGAGAGATGCTGCATTTCCTGATGAACTTCAGCAACCCTCCACAGCACCCAAAAAACCAGGCAGCCCCACCAAAGCCATCTCTCTCCATTATCCCCTTCGTTATCCCTGCTTTCCCCAGCCCTGCCATAGCCAGCTTGCTCAGCCCTCCAACCCCAGGCACCTCCAACATCCCACAAGGGCTCACTGCAGCACCAGCTCTACCCCACAGCGATGTGGCACAGCCAGCACACCTACAGCACTCCACACACCTCCGCTTTCTACTGCAGCACCAAGCTGCTGCCTTGCTCTGCATCAGCCCTGGCCCCTCAGAGAGGCAGGTAGCGGGATGCTGCAGCACTGGGATGCTGTCAGAGCTGCTGTGTCCCATGGCCAAAATGAGCTGGACCGTGTCATTTTTTAAAAAGATAAGGGAGCACAATGAGTTGCAGAGGTTTTCTTGCTAGAGATGCTGTGCCCCCGTGCAGTTTTGTGGAGACAATGCAGACACACAGTGGATGTTCCCATCTTGCCATGCTGTGCCCAGGATGTCCTGCAGCTCCCTGATACAAAGCCCCTGCTCCCTCCTACAAAACCATGCCATTTTAGTTCTGAAGTATACTGCCTTATAGCATGGGCTACTGAGGTTACAAAGGGCTCAGGACAGCAGCCAGCATCCATGGGAAGCACACTGGCTGCTTTGAAATGGGTGCTGGAGAGTAGTACCCAAAACAAACCTCACTGGATGGTCCCAGCTGGTGGTGTGTGAGGTATGTTTGATTCCTGGAATTAGGGCTAGGTTGCAGGGGAAAAACAGCTTCACCTTAGCAGGTGTGTTTGCTAAGAGTTCCCTGCACAAACTGAGACTTACCTCTGGTTTTTCTTCTACACTGTTTTTGGCATCTTTATTCCAGCCCCAGGGTTCACAGCTGTTTCCTGGAGCATCCATGTGTCCCAGTGTGGGTGCCACAGGCTGAAATCACTGTGCAGCGATAGCACGGAGAGGCCTCCTTGCTCTGGAACCTACCACAGACAGACAGCACCTGGGATGTGATCTGTGGAGAGAAGAGGAGCACTCTTGGTGGAAGGCAGATGACCCAGGAACCACTCCTGAGGAATCTGCAAACCAGCACAGAACTGCAGAGCACATCTCCAGCTGCTTTTGCCTCGGCAAGCTCCCACTGAGCCACTGCAAATGACCCAAAATCTTTGCTGCAGCCTCAGGACTTACTTCGCTGGGGCCAGCTGCTCCCCACAACTGTGGGGTGTCCTGGGCACCCTGCTATGAGCTGTAAAATGGAAGGAGCAAAGAGATGCTCATCCCTAAAGGGACACTTGCTCATCCACAAATAGTGAAAAGAAACACAGCAGGTGCAGGGGGTAAATCAGCTCTGAGGACCACTTCTGCTGTTTCCGTGGAAAGGGAAGGACTTGGGATAGAAAGTAGAAAAAAAGACTTATCCCCAGGTAGCACCGGTCACTCCATGCTGCTCTAAGGGTCAGATTAGGTGAGAAGAGTTCTCACTGCTGCTGAAATAGGTCAGACCAGCTTCATAAAGCATCACAGACGCAGCCAGTTCTGCATCCTCCAGTGTGCACCGCAGAAAGGCATTACATGTGTGGCAGTGTCCAGGCACATTTTGCCTCTAGAGCCCTGACACCAAAATGCATAAAAGTGACTCCAGCACATGAGCGAGGACGTGGGCACAGGGCTCAAGTCGTTCCTCAGAGACTGTGAGCAAGTGCGTGAGAGCAAAATGAGAGACGCCATGATCCTCAGGGTATCTCAGCCTTGCAGAGAAATTGTGACTACAGCCTTGGAGATACAGCTGGGCTGCTTAAGAACACTGAACATCAACAGATGACCCACACCTTTATGAGTCATGTCCACATCTGATGTCCATAGCTCCCTCAGATGCTAGAGTAAAGCTCAGGCTCACCCAGGCTGTGTCTTTCCCTGAACTGCTCCCTTTCGCAGTGAAAGCTGGCAAAGCTGGGCCCATGGCCACCTCGTGAGTTTGTTGCAGGGTCCCTCAGTGAAGCGCAGGGCAGGAAGGAAGCTGAGACCCTTATAGGACCTCTATAGCTGAGACTCTTACAGGTTGTTTCCAACCTTGTGATTCTATGATTCAGTCGGTTCCTTGCTGCTCACTCCCATCAGAAAGGTCCACGCACTCCTTGGGAAGCACAAAGCCACCTGGGGAAATGAGAAAGCAGGAACAGGCCATGCAGGTGGCTATCACCAGCAGAAGGCCAGATCCTTCCGCCTGATGTCTACTCCTCTTTCCAGTCCTGATGTGGCCCAGAGGATGCACAAGTATCGGTGGTCAGCAGCAGGACTCAGGGAAGGATCTGTAGAATCGGAGCTGATTCAGCTCTCCAGACTGGCAAAGGATCAGAGCCGTAGGGCTGCAGGACTGCCCTGCTGTCAGTTGGGTGGTGAAGCTGAAACCAGCTGGCTGGCAAAGTCCCATCTTGCTGACTTCTCCATAGAAACCCAGGGAAAGAGACACAGGCTCTGGGCTGAGAAGGGCTTGGGATACTGGTCCAGGAAAAGGGCGCAGCTCTCAACTGTTGCTCAGCATCTCCAGAGGACCACTACTCACCATCAAGATGCTGTGAAGTCCAGTGCACAAGGCAGTGGTGAGACAGGGAGGTCACAGCGAATCCCCCAAAAGCTGGGCAACACGTGGAGGTGGCACATGGACAGTGCAGGACAGGTGGTGCAGTGGAATTGCCAGGTCACAGCCTGAACCACTGCGTGAGCACACGAGTACCTCGAGCGGGGGAGCCTTCCTATCTCTCCATCTCAGCAGTGCTCCCAGGAGCACATACACAGTCAGTCTGCACAGGTCTCCCCCCCCACCCCTCAGCCCCCTTTCAACTTTCAGCACACCACAGTTCAAACACAGAAGGCTGCATTCCTCAGCT